ACCAGAAGTTGCCGTAGGAGGGAATGTACCCGATGATGATATTCGAGTAATGGCCGAGCTCAGCGATAAGGTTGTCATAGTCTCTCTGTTGAAATGTATAAATGTGTAGGTAGTTGTGTAGGTAGTTGTAAAGTAGTAAAAATAATATGTTCAAAAAATCGAGTACTATCCTCATTTCCTCAAATTTGGGTAAAGGACGAAACAAAAGTAGTCCAAATTGAAAAAAAGGTCTGTGTGAATGAAACCCTAGCTGAATTCTCATGCATTGGAATTCTGGCTAAATTACTTTACGTGTACGTTGATCGTTTGTTGCGACTTCACCGAACTTTCATTTTTTTTTTCTCAGATCGATGAATTCTACTATGCGGTACGAATTTTCCCGGGACAAGATCCGGCCAGTGTTTGGGTTGGCTGGGTGACACCGAAATATCATTTCTACTCGGAACGTTTCAAAACCGGTGAAGCTGTAAGGCGATGCAAATATCAGGATGCGGATAAACGAGAGAATGATGCCGAATGGTTAGTTGCCTTTGGTACCAAAATCGAGGCGATATCTTGACGATTGAATTTTTATTTGTTTCTATCTGTACGTTAGTAAAATTCAGGAATATGATAGCTGGGAAGCTGAAATTTTGAAAAAATAGTCCAGGGTTTATTTACATGATAAGATACCTCATCGTGTTCAAGGGCTTTTTAGACCTTTTAGAAGTTTTTGGCTGTTTAGACACCAACTTTTTAGACATTTTAGAAGTTTTGGAGCCTTGAGATATGTGGAGTCACACGAGCAGATTTTGGTTTTTCCTTTTTTGCACATTGCTGCAGCATGCAGTACTGTATTTCACATCTTTTTTCGTACGAAGTGTGCGAGCGAGCATCTCAGTAACATCAATGACAACTGTTAAAGCGATCTGAGATTTGATTTTTGTGAAGTTTTTACACAGAACAATTAAATGCAGTGTTGCTTGCAGTTTGGAATATCGCAATTGTTATGTGAAAAATGCAGCAGATTTGTTACATTCGGTGCCAGA